TTTTTTTTTTTTTTTTTTTTTTTTTTGGGTAAACGGATGCCAGGAAGGGCTTCTTCCTTCTTCTTATTATCTCGGTTTCTGTGTTTTTGTTTGGTCATCTCGGTCTTTCTGGGTGTCCTTATTTATTGTTTGTGTCCCTTGCGCAGGGGCCATTTGCTATTTTACCCTTCTTTGTATCGTTCCAATTTTAACGGATGTCCTGAAGGACTCGATCTCTGTAACGGACTGTCAATCTTTCATGCATGCATGTTGAACTTCCCTTGAGCCGTTGCACGACCGGTCGGTTCTGATTGGTCAGCAATTGACGGTCGTTCTTCTGTTTGATAAGCAATTCAATTTGACGGTCGTTGTTCTGTTTGGTCAGCAACAGACGGTCGTTGTTTGATGCATGCATGTTGCCCCTTGACCCGTTGCACGTACCGGTCGTTCTGATTGGTCAGAAATTAACGGTCGTTCTTCTGTGTTTTTTTTTTTGTGTTTGTGTTCAATTGACAGTCTTTGTTCTGGTTGGTCAGCTACAGACGGTCGTTGTTTGATGCATGCACCATTACGTTGCCTTGACCCGTTGCACATACCGGTCGTTCTGATTGGTCAGAACTGCCTTATCTCTGCCAATTCCCAACTTGAAGTGGAACCGTATGATCTGAGAATTGCAGGTGGAACCAGGGACTAGGAGAAGTCCAGAGTGGACCAGGGACCCGGAGGATTCCAGAGTGGACCAGGGACCAGGAGAACGTGAGTGGAGGATCTTGATTCTGCCCCCGGGGGAAGGAGGTGGTAGGTAGCAAAGAAGGAAGTAGGGTTTTGACGGAGGAAAACACGTTTAAGATTTCAAGGAGGCGGCAAGGATGGGGGCCGATGTCGGCAGTTTCGCTGAGGACATGAGCGGCAAATTGACTGCAGAGAGTGTCTGGATGCGGCGCATGATTGCTTGGTGTCCATGGCTCTCAGTGGATGATCTCAGGTCTCATCTTGCGTTGCTTCCATTGGGTTCACTGATCCTCACAGCGCTGGTCTGTGTCTTGACTGCCAGTTCGCTTTCTTGGCTAGTGGCTAAATGGGTCATTGCTGGGGCGAAGGACCGCCGTGGACGCAAACTGCGTCTGGCCCCCGGGCCTGCTCCATGGCCGATCGTGGGCAACCTGCTTCAGCTGCAAAGGCATCCCCATAGAGTCCTGGCCAAGATGGCAGAGCAGTATGGAGAGCTGATGACCATTCACATGGGCACGGCCCTTACGCTGGTGGTGTCCAGCCCAGCCGCCGCAAAAGAGGTCCTGCTCACTCAAGGAACCACTTTCGCCTCACGACCGCTGCCGCCGACGGCCAATGCATGGTCACATGGTGGCCGAAGCCTCGGGCTCGCGCCATACGGGCCTCTGTGGCGGAAGCAAAGGAAGATTGCCAGTGTGCAGTTGTTCTCCCCAAGGAGGATGGCGCAGGTGGATGCAGTCCGACGGAAGCTCACCAATTTCCTAGAGGAGGAGCTGTTGAGGAAAGGCCAAGGAGGAGCACAGAAGCAGGAAGGAAGTCTTAGAAATGTGGGAACAAAGGAGGCGGCCGAGGAGGGGAATGGTCTATCACCTGCCCCGACTCCCCTGCTGACAGAAACAACCTCCTCCTCTTTGCCCAATCCGGTCGCCGCAGTGCATGTCGGTTGTGCCGGACC